TTTAAAACAGTAGGAAATTTATAATTTTTGATTGTGTTCAGCTTTCTAAAAGAATGCACTGTGACGGACTATCAGTTCTGCAGCTTTAATCTGTGCAGTTCTGAGAAGCATTTCAGGTTGCGTTTTCAGCAGCAGGAACTAAACTGGTGCTTGTGTTGCAGATAATTTCATACAAAACCCTCAAAAAGGAGTATAAAATGTTTGAAGCAAAGCGGCGCCTCCTGAACAGTTTTGATCTCTTTCTGTCTGATGACCGAATTAGAAGGCTTTTGCCCTCACATCTAGGAAAACACTTCTACGAAAAGAAAAAGTAGGTCTTTAAACTTTGGAAATCCATTATTGCATTATCTTTTTTAAGATCAGATTCTTCTTAGTAATGGAGGAATTGGTTTTCTTTTGGGTTTTCTAATTATTTCCTTTTTTTACCACTCTCCCTTTCTGTTTTAGGGCACCTTTATCTGTAAATTTGAAAGCCAAGGATCTTGCCAAGGAACTAGAAAAACATATCCAAGGGACTACACTCCCAGTTAACAACAAAGGGTGCTGTTAGTGAGTACAAATAAATTAATACATCACTTGAAGGATGGTTCTGTCTTAACTGTGGGAATTTTAAATGAGTTATTTTTATTTATTATTCCTTTAGTATGTGAATAAAAGATGTTAAGGGTCATTCCAAATGGGGAGCATTTTGAACTTTTACCTGTATAGTTAAATTAGTAGTTCTACTTCAGTTTTACTGTGAAGCTGAAGGGTTTTGTCTCTTTTTACTTTTACCTAAGGAATTTCTAGGCACCTGTCACTGTCAAAGTGCATGTACAATCTTAGGTTTAATCTAATTTAATAATATTTTTGTATTTCCAAAATACTCCATTCTAATAAGATGTTTTCATGTGCTGTGTATCTGAAAGGATCTGAATTGGTAGTAGTGCTTTGTACTCTAAGGCAGAAGTTGCATATCCAAATATGGAAAGATGAATACAGGTCAATCCCTTCTGTTATCACAAAATATTTTTGCAGTAGCCATCCCTTCTTTATGATTATTGCAGATAAGTGGGCCTTTTGCATTTCTGGGTATGCCTAAACTAAATAAATGACTTGAAATAAGTTTATTTACCCATATATAATTACTGTTCATTTCTTCTTTCAGTACAACACGCATTGGTCACACCGGAATGAAAGCGGATGAGATACTTGAGAATATCATTGCAGCAGCACAAGTGATTGGTAACAAGTTACCAAAGGTACTGCTGATTGACTGCATTATAGACAAATAGATTCATACTTCAGCCTTATTTTTACATAATATACTGGTTTTGTTTTTGCAGAAATGGAAAAATGTAAAAATTCTTCACCTCAAAACACTTAAATCTGTTGCACTCCCAATATTTACTGCGAATATCTCCAACCTGGATGAGCTTGACAAAGAGCCACCGTTGAAGAAAAATGAAGTAAAGGTAACCAAAATTTCTTCAAACTTTGCATAAACTAAATAGGTACATTTAGTTCTAGTTCTTTGTTTTCCTTCTGTGCATTGTTATGTTGGGTTTAAATGCGTTAGAAACTGATCCCAGGCTTTACATCTACTACTGGGTAGACACGCCTGCCTCAGTGCTTTAAATACTCAGTAACAATAAGAAATTATGGAAACTCACTTACAGGTTTTAAAGCAAACTGGAAATAAATAAAGTGTTCCTAGACCTCAAGGGACCTGGGATTCATTCTTAGAGCTTTGCTTCTATTGTTTATCTGTATTTGGCTTCTGAAAATACACTCATTAACGTATGTGGGTTCAGATTTCGCATCTGTTCTTTGTTGGTTAACCAGTGGCATCTGAATAATTCTCAATCTCATATATTTGTGTATATAGGGAGAGCTCATACTTGTTAAAAAACAATTGACTATTCCTTTGTACTGTTCTGTGTATATTCATTTGTCTGAAATTAAATTTGGACCGTGCGTATTCAACTTAGAGACTTTAAGGTTGACATTACTATAGTTGTGAGCTATTTAAAATAAACGTCTGTGTGTAAGGCATTTTTTCATATTTTATTCAATAGACCTGGACTAATCAACCATATGTAAAAGTCTTTAATGTTGCTACACCATCTAATTTTTAACAACATTAAAACAATTATTATACATTTAGAAATGGCATGAGGATTTGTCTGAGATGTACTTCTGATTAATTCTAGAAGGCAAAACCCAAGAAAGCAAAGAAGACAGCTAAAAAACTGAAGCCAAGTCAAGTCACTGTGACAACAGAAAGTAAAGCTGCTGCTGGTACCCAGGAGCCTGTGATAAAAGAAAAGACAGAAATAGTCCAGGAACCAGGAGACTGTGATGATGAAGAAATTCCACAACTGGTGCCTATACAAACAAAGAGCCCAGCCGACATGGAGGTAGTTGTTGAATAATATTGAGAAACTTGCATTTCAGTTAAAACTAAAGATTTTGAATTGTTTAAATTGTTCATTGCTCCTTAGGGAACAGTATGTGTTAGCACACTTCAAGTAGACTATGGTGCAATTCAGTTGAAAGTATTTGTCATTTGTAAAGGTTTTCACTGATCCTTCTTCCTTAAAAACAAGAAATATGTTTCTTGGGTGGAATGGTAATTTTTTTGTTTGTGTTAAATACAGAAAATGGGACCAAATCCAGAAAAACGTGACAATTTGGGCAAGAAATCCAAAACACCCCTTGGTAAGAGAAAGAAAACATCTCTCGTGGATACTCCAAAATCAAAACCTGATGTTACAGAAGAGTGTGCAAACTTACAGACACCATCAAAAGAGAAAAAAGCCAAGCAGGTCAGTAAGCCAAAGGAAACAATAAAAGAAAAAGACATGAAAAAGGCTCCAAAAAAACCTGAAGCAAAGTCTTTTGCAACACCCAAAGCTGGCAAGTCAATACAGTCAGCGAGGAAGTCTTCAAAACCACAGAAGCGGGCACCCAAAAATGTGCGCGTGCCGCAGTCAGCATGAGCGTTGTTTGTTGTAACATGTTTTGTATCATCATTCTATGGTCGATTTTCAGTAAACAAATTTATTGATGAAGTAAAATACCTTCTTAGGAAATCTAATCCCAAGAGCTTTTTTTCACCAAAATCTGTAATGACTTATTGGTTTCCTTCTAATTTACAAGCTGGTACAAATAAATGGTGATAGTACAAAAAGGTGATGACCCCATCACCTTTTATCTTTTGCTGGCCCAAAGCAAAAATTCTCAAATTTTTCAAGTGTCAAAGGGAAGAGAGGGGTGTATCCCAGAGAAAAAAGTCTGAGAAATATTTTAATAAATGCTGTCTTTTTGAAGCAAGAAGCATGTGTGCCAAGAGCAGCAATCTGCATGTGCTTTTTAAGGTGAAAAAAACTGCTATAGTTTTTTAGAAAATTGTTCAATATAATAAAGACAGGTTGACAGCGATTGGTGTTACTGAAGATATCTAACTTAGCAGCCTGATACCAAGCCCCACATAGTCATTTGTAGCTGTTTTTACCTAGGGTATTTGTGAGTTTAAAGAGCACCAACAATTTTGCTTTAACTGTATATATATTTTACAACATCAAGAAAATTGTTACCTTCAGTTTTGGGCTTTATTTCTGCTACCAGAACAGTTGAGAGCATCCCTGCATGATGGTCACAGAACTGTTCTTCCACCTGAAGAAAGCCAAAGGCTGTGTGAATTCTAGTTGTGCCAGCCAAGTGAACTTGTCCTTGGCTGTTAAGGCATGAAAAATACATACTTCAGGATTGAAAGGTGGTATATTTGCAGTTTTATGCAACTGCCTAGTTGTTCTGTGTATGATAACTTGTTTGTCCTTTGTAGAGTGAGAATATGAGGCAGATTTGTGTTGAAAAGTCCTAGTGGTAAAAACACCAAATAGGAAAACGGTGGTAAGAGACAAGATTAATCAACAGGAAGTAACTACTTTGTCATTGAAAAAACCCTACTTCATGTCCTTTTTATGGCACCCTCATATCAAGATATTGGCTACCTAGAAAGAAAGTGGGTGCTAAATAAGAATATGAAAATACTCTGCTTGATCTGTGGTGTCAACTTTGTTTGACCCTTTTGCAACCCTGCCTTTTTGTAACTTTTCAACTATTTTGTGAACCAAAAGCTATTATAGTAATCCAAATAAACCAATAGCACTAACTATTACTGGCAGAGTATCAGCAGTATCATTTACTGCAAACTATTTCCACTAAAATGTGGAAGGTACCTATTCTGTTAGGCCTAGTCCTAGTTCCTGTTGGCTTGATATTTCTAGTTACTGGAACAATGGATCATTAAATAAGGTGTTAGATATAAGGCCCTTGTGAGAGCAGGCACAGGATATCCTACATCTAAACACAGTTCTTATGCTTGAGGACGTGGGAGTGTAAAAAGATACATATCAGGTCATTAACACAAGGGTGAACTGAAATTTGTGTCTTGCCTTTTACGTAACTTTTACTTACCGAATTTTGCATCCTGTATTGACAACTTGTTTCCTGTTTGTCAACCTGAACTTGGATTCCAACTGCTTTTTCAGCCTCCTCAAGCACAGTTAAAGGGGTCTATATGCATTTGTAGATGCACAGTGTAACTGTCTTGCAAATCTCTACTGTCTGCGACCAGCTTGCCTCCCCTTGCAAGTGCGAAGATGAGCGAAGTCGATGTTCATCTGCGGACCACTTTTTGGAGTGCCTCCCTTCTAGGGTGCCCGAGGTGGCACTGCCTCAGCTGGAGCAGCTGAGCGGGCCCAGCCGTGTCTGGCTCACCTGGGAACGGTGGCGAGCGCTACTCGAAGAGAGGCCTCGGCTCCCAAATGCCATTGGTCGCTACGGATCAGCCTCCGAGCCCCACGGCGGCGGGCTGGGGGCTCGGCGGGGCCGGTGAGGGCGGCGTGTGCCCGCCTTCCCTGCGCGTGTGCCCGCCTTCCCTGCCTGCTGCGGGGGCGCGGCCCGAGCCTGCCCTCAGGAGTGGGGGCGCGGCCTGGGCAGCTCCTCAGCGGTGGGCGCGGCCTGAATTTGCCCTCAGGTGTGGGGGGCGCGGCCTGAACCTGCCCTCAGGTGTGGGGGCGTGTCCCGAAGCTGCCCTCAGGTGTGGGGGCGTGTCCCGAAGCTGCCCTCAGGTGCGGGGGCGCGGCCTGCACCTGCCGCGATGGGAGGGCGCGGCCCGGCCCGGCCCTGCCCTCAGGTGGGCGCCGCCCTCGCCTCTCCTCAGGTGCCCGAGGCGGCGGTGGCGCCGCTCCCGATGGCGGCCCCGGGCGGGCTGGGCCGCTGCGTGGCCGCCTTCTGGCTGGCGCTGGCCTTCGACGCGGTGGGGCTGGCGGTGCTGCTGGCCGGCGTGTTCGCCGACGTGTTCTTCTCCGACCTGCTCATCTACGCGGGCGGCATCGGCATCTTCCTCAGCCTGGTCTGGTGGGTGTTCTGGTACGCGGGCAACCTGGAGGTGCCGCCCGAGGAGCTGCGGGACGACGTGGGGCTGTCGGCGCCCAAGGGCCGCGGGGACACGCTGCTGCGGCGGCTGGTGAACGGGCTCAGCCTCCGCCTCACGGCCGCGCTCGCCCCCGCCCGCCCCGCCGACCTGGAGCTGCAGCGCGCCCGGGGCCCCCGTGGCCGCCGCGCCGACCCCGGCAGGTGAGAGCCGGGACGGGAGCCCGGGACGGCGAGGGGAGCCCGGCTGTCGGCTCTGGCTTTGGCCACAGCTTGGGACAGCTCTCTTGCCCGACGTTCGGTTTAACACATGTTAAACCACCTGCTCGCAGCTGCCACGTCTTAAATAGTAGTGGGGAATCTTTCTCAGCTCAGGTGGTGAAAAAACGAGTGGGAAAGATTGCACAAATGGGATTAGGCGGGGAAGACGCTTCCTGTAGCCGTCCGAGAACGTAACAGGCGAGCCGGAGTGAAGCCCGGGCAGCGTGGCGACATGCGGAGAGCAGCACAGGAGCCCTGGCGCTCTGAACTGGTCCTCACAGCAACCAAATACTGCCAGAAAGGGCCATTAACCACTACCCCGCATGAGCTCCTGGGAGGGGAAGCCCCCTTGTTAGCACCGTGAAATATTGCTTTATTGGAGAAAATAAAGGTGAAATTCTGACTTGGTTTTAACTTGAGGGCAGAGCTGTAGGTAAGAGGTTGAAACTCAAATGCTATCAGTTAAACTGTTTGTCTTGAACATCAGTCATCTAGAAAAGATGTGATGATATGTGTTGTGCAAAGGAAGTGTCTTGGTCCTATTTCAAAGCATGGTTGAAGAACATGAAGCTTTTCAAAATATCCTAGTATGTTCATTTATATGGCATGTTCACTTAGGAAGAAAAGCATGCATAATGCCTTGAAACTGTGTGTAGGGAAAAAAGTCAAGCCTTCACTTCCCTATGTAAAATCCTCTATTGAAGGAACTGTAAACACAGTTTTGTACTGTTTGAACTGTTTGAGGATTCTAAACATCTTGTTGTTCTGATTCACTGTATACAAGACGAGCCTTTCCTGCTTCTCCTTGAAATTAAATTTTGAAGGCACTGTTGATTTACAGAAAAGTTCATGTAGAAATCATCTTCTTTCATGAAAGCTATGAAATTTTTCATGAGAGAAAGTTTTAACAGCAGGGAGATTGAGTATAGATAATTATTCCTTAATAGAAAACGTGTAGGAGGCAGGAAAGAACAGTAGCAACACAACTTTCAAAGATAGTTACTGCTCTTTAGTTTATTATTAACTACACCTGCAATTAGGCTGTTGAAAATGAGCCATTCTATTTTCAGACTTTTTTTTTTCTGAAAGGGGTCTAAAATTGGCAGGTCCATTTTTGCAGGGACAATATAAATATAAATGACTATGCAGAATCATTTATCTAAAGATCATGGCAATTGCAGGTATTGAGCTCAGCAGATAATCTGCTGTCTCTGAAGATACAATGTGTGTGCATGGATAGGTATTCTGTTTTAATGAACACCTAGTAGTGAAAGTTATCCACTTTTTATTTTTATCCAAATATTTTGAAATATTTCAAGTCTTATTTCTGATTGTAATTAGATTAATATGTCCTATAGGGAGATATATATATATACACACACACATATATATATTGATTTAGTACAAGATATCCCAGCATCTTCTGTTGCTACAGTAAACAATCTTCAGTAATGGTAATTCAGAAGGAACCAAAACCAAAACAGAGGGTGTACAGCAGTTATGTTACATATTGGAACATAAACTGCTATTTTACTTGCAAGGTGAAACAAAGGATAACAAATGGTTTCACCTTGAAAGATAATTTAGAGTTCCCTTTCGAACTAAGTTCACCTAAAGTATCTTAGAACTTCTCGTAAACAACAAGGAATCAGGTCATTCCTTGCTGATAGACCAAATCCTCTCCCCATCAGGAGATATTTATGAACTTAACCAAACGGGTTAAACATGTTTGGGCAGATATTGCCTGAGGAGGAAAAAAACTAGCACCACACACACACATTCAGAAAAAAAAACCCAAAACAAAACAATCCTAAAATCAAACCACCAAAAAACAAACAAAAAAACCCCAAACATACTCTCTTTATTTTCATTTGGAAACCTTGAGCATTAATTTTTGAAGTTATGACAGGAACATTCTACGTTGTTCTGATTTCCTGTTGTAAAAATTATACAGTAGACAAAGGTGAGAATTCTCATGACATGGAATGTTTCTATTAAAGGAATAACAAGTAGATTAGGATCCTCAAGCCTGAAAGGAGATGCAGAATATAAAGTGTTCTAGAAGTCTATGCAGTCACCGTGGGAAAGGTATGAAGTGCTTGCCTCCCAAGGCAAAGCAGGAACAAACTGTCATGTGCTATGTAATTTAAGTATGGGATTATTTGACATGGTACAGTGGGACAGATAGAAATTTACTGATTCAAAAATCCAAAGGACAAAGCAGAAGATATATGATAATATAAAGATAATATGTCTGGCTAAGGAAGACCCGGGGCAGTTGATATCCTGAGGAGATATCACTTGTGTGCCATATTGTTATGCCTTCATTGAGACATCACACTTGGCCACCACTGGAGAGGGGCTGGTGACTTAATGGATCTTTCTTTGGGTCCCAATTGGCTGTTCAATATGAGGAAAAGTACTTTTAAGATTGACTTTAAGTAACAGTTTAGAGTTATATGGCCATTTGTTCTAAGCCTATTTTGGAGTAACGTTTTCTTCATGTGTTACCTTCAGGATCTGTTGAAGACACGACTAATGCTGCCCCAAAAAGTGGGGAAAATGCTGCAAATTATGGAAAGAGATTCCTTACTCAAGACAGTAGGATTCTCTCATTGTGGAATAACCTCTGCAAGCATTGTGGACTCTCCATAAAATGGACACGTGGAGCCGTATCTCTGCCAAAAGCACCTATTTCAGTGTTGGACTGGATATGCTTTGAAATGGTGAAAAAAGATCCCACAAAATCTTTTTGAGAAGTGAGAGCTAAAGAGAATTGAACCTGATTCACTGAAATATCAGTGCAGCTTGTCTTATAGTTGGTTTTATTGTTTTGTTTCAATTATTATTATTTTCAATAACCTGAAAGGTTTGGATAAAAAGCTCTTGCACAATTAAAAGCTCTTGCACTGTTTTTTACCAAGGTCTAGAAGTTAAACTTACTGTGAATTTTTATAATGCCAGTGCAATACTTTTGTTTGTAAGGGTGCTTTTAAAATGTCTATATTAAACTGTCGACGCAAAGCTGCAAATGTAGTAGAAGTTGTTTATAGTGTAAATACACAATTTATAGTGTCTGTGGTAAAAAGTTTCATTGTTATTCTGAAATAACCTGGAATCTGAGACTTTATAAGTAGACAACACCAGTGATGTTGGCATACAAGTACATTTTTTGTAGTTACAAATTATGTAATATGATGACACTTGGAAGAGTCATTTTTAGTCCAGTGATATTGGAAATTATTTTCCTAATGCTGAAGCATTTGAGAGAGAGAACATGACCAAAAGAAACCCTGTTGATTAACAAGTACCCCAAGGCATTGTAAAACATTAACAAACAGTACTTGGAAAAAGATTTATATTAATGCTAGTGATACCTAAAACTGTGCTAATGATAAAATTGTGTGGAGAATTTCCTCAGGAGTTCTTCTGGTTTTGAAGTAACACTAAGAGTGTGGTACCACCATCAGCAAATACTGGTAGGGCTTAAAATTTCAATGCACAATTGTTCTATGCCACACCTCATTGAATACTAAAGGTGGAATTAAGGAAAATATTTGCTAAGAACACTGTGGCTGTACTTCCTTATGAACTCTTGAAATGTCTTTCAGTGTTTTCTTGTAAAATTACTGGAGTAACTTATTTTCTTTGCATATTCTCATTTTTGAATGCTTTCCAAATGCTCTATCTTTTAAGAAATTCAGAAGAACACTAAACTTGAAGATCTGCAATGTGATTTCTCCTTTACTATCTGCAGTTTTTAGGTGTATGCAATTTGTTTCCTGCTTTTAATGGAACTGCAATGTGACACCACTGCAGTGTTACAATGGCCTGATTAAAAAAAACCAAACAAACCTGTAGATCAGTTTTCATTTGCAATAATTTTTTTCATTTCATTTTTCCTGAACAGAAGGAGATGCCTTTTCTGATTCCCCAAAGTGAATTATGAGATTCAGTGTTTAATAAGTGGAATGATTACTAGTAGCTATAAATTAAGCCAAAACTAATATATGTAGTTCACATACTTAGTTTGTGAAAACCAAAATTTTCTATTCTATTAAAGCAATAATAATCGCTACAGTGAATTGAGCAGGCCTTTGCATTCCTTGTATATATATTACAATGTAATTAATCTTACATCAATTATCAGTACTTAATGATTGTTGCATAAGATGGTACCTCGAGTGCAATTTCACTCAAAAGTTATGTAGAATTCCAACTAGTTTACTAGTATGAATAGTATATGTTTTAAAAATGAAATATAGGAGCTGACCCATCAGTTAAGGAGGATGTTAAGCACAGGAAAGCACTAAAGCATTAGAAGGTAACTCAGATGGTTAGTCCAAATAATTAGACAAACAATACTTGCTGTGGAGCAGTGATACCTATTGTAAGCATTGTGACTATTTTCTTTTTGAAAATGCATCCAGTTACTGTTACATGCAAACAGTTTGCCTTCTAAACCAGGAAGGCTAATACTAAACAGAAACTGGGAATCATCTGCAGTTACACATTAACAAATATTTAACACTATTTTAGTTTCCTTATCAGCTCTGCCAATGCAGCACAAAGTCCATTCAAAGAATATTGTTGAGTGGAAGGAAGCTCTTGGACATGTTTAGGACTGCTTGCTGTTACAGCTAAAAGAATTCCTCTAGCCATTGAAGGAAGTCTTATGCATGCTGTATAAAATCTTAGGCAAAATCACAAAGAACCAAACTAGTTCCAGAAGGGTGGCTACAGAAGTCTTTTGCTAGTTAAGTCTTAAAACTAGCTCAAAATGTCATCCTACATTCCACTAAAGGAAAAATACCAACCTCCAGCTTCTAACTATGTAGATGGATTAAATGCTTGTTAGACTTAACGTGGACTGCATCTAATGGAAGATTTAATTTGGTATATAGTATCTACTTAAATGGGAATATCTTCATCATCATCAAGATTAAATTATTAGTAATGCCTGTAAAAATCTGTTTGATGTAACTTGTGAGAGTTGCTGGGAGTGATATAATTATTACAGTACCAGTTTGTGTAGAAAAGAAGCATAAGTGTATACAAAGTTGAGAGGGCTAAGGTCAAATAATGGCACGTGTTGCTGTAGCTTGTTTGTGTGAATGGGTGAAGTAAATTTTACACATTCAGCCAAAGTAAGCTTTCAGCAGATTGGATGTTACTGAAGAACTACACAGGAAATGCAAGTCTCTGTTCATACTTACCCGGGTTGCTGTGGCAGCAGCATTTGTGTGTGTATACAATCTTTCAGGAGCAAAACCAGTTACTAGCTCTGACACAGAAAAGTCCATAACACATTTTGTTTAATGACTGGTGCTTTAACATAGACCCAGCCTACACAGGGAGGATGAAGACATCCAGAAATCTCACTGAAGTTCCTGTGCCTCTGTTCTAGCAAATCCATTATTACTTCCCAAGGTCAAATACCGCTTCGTTTAGAGCAGATTCTTGGCCCTTTTTTATCTCAGTTGAGTTGTTTGTACCATTTCGTTTATCCCTTCGGATTGCAGTTTTTAGTTGATAACCCGGGCTGGCCGTGCCCGTGGTGTCACCTGTGCTGTGAGGGGCTGCCCGCGGCTCCCACTGCTCACACGGGCTGCCCAAGGGTCGGGGAGCGCTCGCTTGTGAACCATCCCGGGATGGGCTCGCTCCACCATGGCCCTGGGGACCAATCTGGATTTCTGCTCACGCACCCCGGGACGATGGGAGCGCTACCGGGAGTCAGCGTTAAACCCAGAACGGTGACGAGAGTAGAGCTTCCCGCACCACGGTGGGAGGGAGCAGCGCCGCGGCTGCTCCTTCCCAGCGCTCCCTGCCCATTCAGCGCCACCGCCCGGCGCTGCCGCTCTGTCCCAGCTCGCTGGTGCCGCTCCCAGCCCGCTCGGTGCTGCTCTGTCCCGGCTCGCCGGTGCCGCTCCGAGCCCGCTCGGTGCCGCTCTGTCCCGGCTCGCCGGTGCCGCTCTGACCCCGCTCGGTGCTGCCGCCCGGCGGCGCGGCGCGGCGGTGCGGGGGGCGGGCCGCCCGGCGCGGTTTCCGCCCGGCCGCGCAGTTTCCGCCGGAGCGGCATGTGGCGGCGCGGGCAGCCGGGGCGCGCCGGGCGCGGGGCGAGGCGCCGCTGGCCCCGGTAGCGGGGGCGCGGCCGCCACCGCAAGGCAAGGGCGGGCAGCGGGCGGGTGATCCCTGGGAGGGGAACGGCGGCTCCCGCGGCTCTCCCCGCTGCGGAGGGGCCCGAGAGGTGCCCCGGGCCTCCGAGCGGTGCTCACGCGGCTTCCCCTCCCCGCAGGCGCCGTGACCATGCTGGGAGCGGACGAGTTCATCAGCTCCCCGCCCAGGAAGACGGTGCGGTTCGGGGGGACCCTGACCGAGATCCTGCTGAAGTACGAAAAGGTGACTGCGGCTTCTCGGGGGCCTGCGCTGCGTCCGGGCTGCTGGTTTCGGGGGTCATTCCGTGAGAAGACTCGTTTCGCCTTATGCAAGACCGTGCCTGAAGCCTTAGGGAAAAAATTGAAGGCGGCTGAGCGTTGTAGGCTTGTGCCAGGCAGAATTGCTGTGCGAGCGAAAAGATTTCCCCCGTGAGTCAACCTGCGTGGCTGGGTGAATGTAAAGCCTGGCTTATGCTAAAGTGTGCACAGGGATCCAGCTGTCTCTGCAGGGAGAGCAGCTGAAGATGAGCCAGCAGCCTCGGTTGTCTTCTGGGACGACACCCTGTTACTGTTCAGCTTTCCTGAGCTGTCTTGTGTTCTTGATGTACCTGTTCAATAGTTGGTTGTTCAGATACATTGATGACATTGGTAGTTTTTACTGAAGAAAAAAAAAGGAAAGTAATTTATTTATTTTTGTTTCCCCTGCTAGGGTGACGCTACAGATTTTGAATTGTTAAAACATCAGCTATCAGATCCAGACATAAAGGTAAGACTTTGATAGTTAGGGGTCTGATGATTTAAAGTTTGTCTGTGAGTGTAATAACCAAACAAGTCATTCTGGTGACTACACAAATCCTTTGCTTTAAAGATTTAAATTGTATTTAACAGCTTTTTTTCTTTGCGGAAACCATCAGAATTAAAACTCTAAATGGAAAAAAAAAAAAAGCCTCTTTGTACACATACGTATATGCAGGATCTTCATAAATGATGTCTCATGCTTACTGACCCTACTCTACCCTTGAGTCTGTCTTTGTTCCAGATACCATCTTCTTAGGTCACTGATGGTTGATTATGGAGACTCTTCTGTAGATCAGACATGATTTCTGATTTTCTTAGCCTTACAGTTGCATCGAATTTTACCTTCTGTTCTCACTAACTCTGGTTTAATTAGGCAGTAACACACATATGCATTTAGTAGTTATACCCAGAAGTATTGTTTACAGCTCTTCTGTATAGCTACGGGTACCTTCCATGTTTGCTGTTTCAAGACTTGAGTGTCCCTTCTGCTTAAACTAGAGTAAAAGAGAAAAGAAAATGATGATCTAATGCCATTTATTTTATGTTCTGTGTGAGGGAGGTTTCATGCCTTGCTTAGTCTGACTGAAACCTTCATGGCAGGCTGCTGGTTTAGGAGTTGGCATGAATGTATTCTGCATTCAAGAACTTTCATTGGTGAGGGCACAAACAAATTCCTTTCATGTTAGTGTGAAAACAATTTCTATTTACAGTCTTAATCTTTGACTTCTAAGGACTTTGGCATTTTCTGCTCATAGGTAGTACTGTTTATTGAAATAGTTACCTGTTTTTTTCTGCTGATTTTAAGGATGCCCAGATCATTAATTGGCTGCATGAATTTCGAGCTTCTGTTGCATATTTGACCAAAGAGCTTGGACAACTGGTCAACATTTTGCTGGTAAGTATCTGTTTGCTACATGGGAAGACTAAGAGTTTAGTACTCAAAACATACTTCTTTGACATCTTGATCTTTGCTTACTTTTAGAAGCTGCCATGGTTGAGAAGGAGCCGAGAGGTAGTGGAAGAATATCTGGGCTTCCTTGGCAATCTTGTGTCAGCCCAAACTGTCCATCTCAGGCCGTGCCTGCGGATGATTGTGTCACAGTTTGTCCCCCGTAAGTTACTTCTCTCTTAATCGTCTTTGTTTGCTCATCAAAATCTCTATATAGATAAGTTCTGTGTAAATAGAGTCCATAACACAATTAATTATTGGGTTATTGAGTTTTTTCATGTTGATTGTCATACAGATAGTTTTCTGTACCTAGATTTTAGAGGATATATTCTGGGTGCTAATACAGATCCTGTTCTGAAGATATCTTGGAAATGAATGAACTGTATAATATCTTTACTACTAAAAAACCAAAAGGTGAAGATCATGTCAGATGTTCTCAAGAACCTCCTAGTTCTGTAAATAACAGTCTTTAAGAAAATCTTGCAGCTAATTTTGATGCTCTAGTCGTGGTGGAGACTGTTGTTCAGTGTGTTTGCTACTGAATTTGTTACCTATAAGATGTATACAATTTTGATGTAATAATCTCTTTTTTTTTTTTGCTAGCTCGAATAACCATCAGAGAAGATGATGTGGATATTTCAGATTCTGATGATGATGATGAAAGTGAGTATAAAGGATATAGATATACATGCTGCTATAGTGCCTTTACCAAAAAAGTATCCAGTGCATGTTGCTCCTTTTTTACAAAATTGAGCTGAGTTCAAGTAAAACATAAGAAACATCCTTAAATTCCTAAGTCAAAGACTTTCTTGTACTCAAACCAATGGTGTGTTGACCCACTTCTTATTACTTTGAAACTATTCCTGTTGGTGCAGTATCTGTAGGAATAGAATGCATAGGGAAACATTCCTAGACCTAGGTTGTTTCAAAGCCAAAGAAAAGTTAGTTGTTTGCTTTCTATTTTATTTATCTCAGTGTACAGCCCCGCAAACGAACGTTTTGGCAAATGCAGTTTTCTTGGGAATCATTCCATTGTGTAGTTGATATGAACTGTTTTTACTGGTTCCTGATTTAATTTTCTGTAACCAAGTGCATAAGAATTCTTTTTTCTTTCTCTAGACATCTCTGAAAACTTTGATACATGCCACAGAGCATTGCAAACTGTCGCAAGATATGTTCCTTCGTAAGTACAGAATCCCTTGGGTTTGTGTGCCCTTTCCTTGCAGATTTAAAGCTTGTGAACTGATGGGTTTTTTCCTCTCTTAATTGGAAGTATAACGCTTTATTTAATTGCATGATTTTTCCTAGTATTCACTAACTGGTAGAATGCTTTATACAAACATGGAGTTTCTGTCAGGCATCAGCCACTGAAAATCCTGTTAACAGAAATGGGAAGTAGGAAAAGTGGTGTTGATAGTGGCTTCTGTATTCTGTATTCTATAGTGATATTTGAAGTGGCTTCTAACAAGTGCATTGTGAAAGTTTGCCACTTATATGCCCAGTGATGCTTGCCAAACCACATTTTATACAATTATTTACCTTAAAATAAAGTTCCTGTGAAATAAGCTTATTCCAGTACATCTTTAGAGTGCTGGAGTTCAACATTTGCAAACCTATAACTTTTAGGTCTGATTTTTGGTTTTTAATTAATTGTAGGACACCACAGTTTCTCATGCCGATACTTGTGGAATTCTTTCCTTTCATTAATAAATCAGAAAGAACTCTGGTAAGAGCTGTGACTATTTTTGTTGATTTGTTCACCTGTTTACCTAAATGCATAAATGTTCTGTATAGTATTACAACTGATTTAGTTGCAGTCCATGCAGATTTTTGAATAATATTGTTGCATATATAATAATTACATATATAATAACCACATATAGGATTGTGTCTGTTTAGTGTTAGGCTCTCCAAGCATTCTGAGTTCTTTGTGCACAAGTGTTGTGCTCATCTTTAAAGACATCACACATATTTTTTCCACTGGATTGCAATGTATGCCATGGACCTCCTTGATGAGGAGACTCAGACTGTGTAGTAAGGAGACATGTCTTGTCTGTTATCAAACCTGGAAAGTCTGTGGCAGAAGAACAGGGGATTTGAGAAGCAAACAAGAGACAATGGACATTTCAGGCGAAATCCAAATTGCCAGTAAAGCCCTATTATTTTATTGTAGCTTTATCATAGTGTTTGTGTGCTAAAAAACAAGCTGTAAACCTTTGACAGGTTATGGCTTTTGTTTTATCATTCTCTTTGTTTGTTCCAACTTGATATGTTGGCACTTTGTGTTACAGAAAGGCAAAGCCCTGCTTCTCCAGCTAAGTTCAGTTGAAGCTGTGTTTTGAACTCATCAAGTGCTGAAAAGCCCAAATTTCTTTATCTAGATAGATATCTAGATCTATCTTTATCAAGATAGATAAAGCCCAAAGTTCTTTATCTGTCTTGCAATTTTTTAAAATTGTTGTTGTCTTAATCCAAATAACTTTAAGCACCATCTCCCCATCTGTAAAATGGGGGAATAATAGCTCTTACGTGGTGTTAGGAGATTTATTTACTTAGCAGTTCAGTGAGGGACAAGATGTGAAGAAATGTGTAGTGTAGCTGTTTTCAGGGCAGAGCTCAAATGAAGTGTAATAAAATGTGGTCCATGCATTGTTATATATTTACAATTAATACTTCCTCATTAAACTTTTTCTATCCATTTTGTGTACTGACCAAGCCTGTGAAAAAAATGAGCAAGATGGCCTGTGGAAAAGTCATATGTGCTCATGTAATTAAAGGTTGTGTTATAATGCTTATTCACAAGTAGACTGTGGTGTACTTAAATGTGGCACTCTACCTGATTGTATGCAGCAACTTGATAGTTTTGCTTTATGAAAATTGCAGCGTTGTCTTTTGTACATGTATACATGGGTGGGCCCATGCATGCTCACAAAACTTGTCTGTTAAGCTGCTTGATTTATAATCAGAATGACTGAAGAGCCATAGCTGTGCAATTTAGACTTGCTGCTGGTATATTATCATAATCTGAAATAAAGATACTTTTGGTCTCATTTCAAGCATACATGGCTGGTTCCAGATACAGCAAAATATATGCTTCATTTTCCTAAAGAAAGTCTAGACATAAACTCCTATGAAAATGAATAACTTTTCTTATAGAATCTTTGCACTCTATTTAGAGGTAGTGAGGAAAATGTGTATAAAAAGAACAGATTAAGCAGTTAATAGTGACACAAATACTGAAAGTTAATGTTTAGTTTATACATTAACTTACTCTTCATTGAACATAATCTGTTTAAACCTATTTCTGGGTTTTTAGGTAACAAATTAAGAAACTTGTTTTCTCTAAGTCCTTTGCAGAAATTTGACTTTCTGTTAACACTGTTATTGATACCAATTAATTTTGTGTCACAGGAATGTTATGTCCATAATCTGCTGCGAGTTACTGTGTATCTCCCAACTCTGAGGCTTCAGATTCTAGAGCTTATTATTGAAAAGCTGCTGAAGTTGGATGTAAGTTTATTCTGTTATCATTTATGGAAGGTTGGCATTAAAATACGCAGAGTAGGAAATGAAGTATTCATTTTTAGACTCTACAAAAAATGCACAGGTGATCATGGGTATAAGCCCAGCCAAATTTACACTTCGTTCCCAGGATAAAGATGTTCCCACACCTGAAGGTAACTGTATGGTGTGTACTGTTACACCTTGCCTGGAGTCTCTGCCAGAAACCAAATAATTGTCTTGTCGTGGTGGGTGCTAATGTGCAGAGAATGTGCTTCCCTTCCTTTGTATGGTTGATTGGTTGTGTCATCTCTTTGAGGTAAAAGGATTACAGTCCTAAAACAAGGCAGGAGTCCTAAAAAAAAGCACTGTAAATGATAATGGCTTTTTGCCTCACTGTGTAACAGTCTGGGGAGAGCATATGCTGGGGAGGTAAAGTTTCAGAAAGTTTGGGGTGTACATTTGTGTATGTCACATCATTAATTTTAAAAATGTTTATTTAGTTCAGGACCAAATTTAGTCAAGAACTTACTCATGTTGTTGTGTCTTTTATATAAATTATAAAAAACTCAATTTCATATTATTATCATGGTTTTATAGAAATTAATTTCTTGTTTGCAACTGTAGGTTAGCACTCCACAGCAAGATATTGAAGATGCTGAAGAAACTGCTAATAACTGTGCTAGTGAGGAAAAATCTACAGAGGAGGGACTTTTTGACATGGTTGGTTATCTTGTTCTATTAAATTTTCTTTTAGTAGAACTGTCCCTTCTGAAGTGGCAATGAACTAAGTGTAGAAATTTGTGATTACTGTGTTGTTACTGCACTGTGCACTGCTCTTGAAACCTGAACAGCTGACAAATGATTAACGTGTTCTCAGGTATTGGCCTTACTCATGTAAACGCCCAGCAAAAAAGTGTTACATCCAGCAAATCAATTTCATTATGTAAAAACACAAGCAGCTGTGCAATAAAGCTAGTTAAAGTATTCATGATACTTGGCTTAGTGAGCAAAAATTTACTTATACTGTATGAGATACTGCTTGTTAAAAAAAAGATGAAACTTTAACATGTTGATGAAAGATAAATTTAGTTTGACTTTTCCTGTAATTGCTGTCTCTGTGATTTGTGTATTTAAAAGCTGCATGTGCCATTTTATCTACCAGGAGGAAGATGAAGACGGAAAAGGAAACAAAGTTGTCTCTCCCAGTATTGAGAGAATGGCCCATCCGCTTGCAGAGCGCCTGGACATCCTGATGACCATCCTGTTTTCATATATTCGAGATGTTTGCCATGTGGATGGTGAGAACACTTGCTCTGTAACCAAATTTGTTGCTCTGCTAACAAGTAAGAAACACATAAGAGGAGTTCTTTCTCTCTGTACTGCAAGATAGAGCAGAACTCTGCCATTAGCAGGTTGTAGTCCACATTCCTGCCTCTGCCCAGGTGCTGGGAGAGGTACAGTTAGGACTTCAGAGGTTTAGTCTTCACTTGGAGACATTCTGATTCCATTAATATGATACTGGATCCAACTGTTTTTATCATTTGCTCTACTTGAGTGTTAGAATTAGGATCATTTTAACATCACAAGGACTAGAAGTAGATCAAAACAACCAGACACATCAGATGGCCTTGTTACACAGGAAAAAAGAAGAAATAAATATCTTTTACTGCTATGTATAAAGGGTTTTAATTCCTTAGATTTATATATTTAGAACAATATTTAGAAACCATTATGCTGTATCTTCATCACATATGTCAGGTAATTTATTTCTTTGATTGCTCTTCTGAGCTAATGCATTATTGCAAAGGTTGCATGTCTAGCAGCTTTATATATGTGCACACTCACACAGAAAGATTCTTCATTTACACCACCTTAAAAAGCAGTAGAATTGTACACCTGGATTTTTAGATGTCAGATAAACTGAGAAGTCAGGTTGACAGTTTTTCTTTACATATTCTTACTGGTGTAGAAAGATATAAATACCACTTCTGCAGCACAAGAGTGGGAAAAAAAAACCCTGAAATGGCTCATTTTGTTCTGTTTCTTTGTTGTGTAGGCAAGCTCAACATCAGCAATACAAAGGATTTGTATCGGGATCTGGTTTCTGTTTTTGACAAGCTCATTTTACCAACCCATGCTTCATGTCATGTACAGTATTTCATGTTTTACATCTGTAGCTTTAAATTGGTGAGTAAAAGCCGGTGTTAAAATACAGTGTCCTCTGTCATTTTTGCATCCTTGTTTTGGTTTTTTAAACAAAACAATTTTCTCTGCTGTAATTCTACTCTGAAGATAGCAAGTGCATTAGTATCTTCACTTTCTTTTCCTTCTCTGTTACTCCTTTCTTTTTCTTTATGGTTACTCTTCCCGTGTTGTTCATAAATCACTTACAGATGGAATTTTAGCAAGTGTGAAGGGACAAACTTGGTTAAAACTGATCTCTTTGACAAGAATCAGTTGGACTCTTGCGCCCAAGACATTGGATGCAAGTTTCTTCAGCATCCCAAAACTATTGTTGAGATGCTGTCTGTTAGATCTTTGATTTAAAAATCGTGTCTGTGTTTGTTTTTCCCCCACCCCTCAATTTTCCTACGTCTCTCAATGAACTGTTGTTCTTTCTTTTACAACTGAGTATAGAAAAACACCCAGAAATGAGTGCTCTTCATCATGTGTAGGAGTGGTGATTTACTGCAATTATAGGTAGATTTTTGTAGTGGTGTGGTTATGGAAATTATGGGAATTGAGTATTAGGAGTCTATTACTTAAACAGTGTCACCTCACTATTTCTATATATCTTTTTTCCAGGGGTTCGCTGAGGCATTTTTAGACCATCTTTGGAAGAAACTGCAGGATCCAAACAATCCTTCAGTAATCAGGCAGACTGCTGGGAGTTATATTGGCAGCTTCTTAGCAAGAGCTAAATTTATTCCCATTGTGTAAGTTGTTTTCATACATGAGCAGAACCAAACAATTCATACTATTGAGGAGCTTAAGTAGAGAGTTTGTCTTCTATTCCCACTGCTTTGTCAGTAAGGAAAACACACAGGATGCAGACTGATGAATCCTGAGGTTCATGACTTGTTCAGGGCTTCACTAAGCAGGAAGTGCAGAGCATGGGTAGGTTGTGCTGACTTCAGGCAGTTATGGATTCCCAATGTATCTGATGTTTTCAGTACCCAGTGTTAGGCACTTTCTGCAGGCTCTGGAACTGGAAGATCATTTGTTCTAGAATTTTGATAGAGAATGGTTAAAATGTCTTCCTTTTTATGTACACATTGTATATTTTTGTGCTGTTCAGGGTGGGTGTGGTGACTGTAACATTGGTGTTGGTCGGTATTGGAATTACCTGGTGGACATGGGAGGCATTGCTCTGTACTACCTGTAGCCAAGGATTCTGGTTGTTAACTGTGTTCATGGATTCATCTCTTCTGGCATCCTGTCCTTTCACTGATTCGGGTTTTCAGTGCTGGTTGATTCATTTTATGCTGAGATAAAGGAAAAGGCTTGTAACAGAATCATTCTTTTACAATGAGATTTTCTTACTGATGTTTTTATAACGGCTGAGATTCTTGAATATTTGTTTAACATCTTTTCTACACCATTTCAGGTGTTATTTTTACACTTCTTTTTTCTCCCTACAGCACAGTAAAAGCATGTCTGGATCTTCTGGTGAACTGGTTGCATAAATACATTGATAATCAGGATAAAGGAGCTAATGCCTACTGTGATGTAGCTCTCCATGGGCCATTCTATTCTACGTGTCAGGCAGTGTTCTATACACTTATTTTCCGTCATAAACAACTTTTGGATGGAAATTTAAGGAAAGGTGAGTATATTAGGTTTGAAAGGATTAATTGGAAGTTTAACTGTTGCTGTATTTTATAGTGATCAATTCAGTCAGTATCTGATGGCATGTTGTTGTCCTCTAAATAGAATGAGGTGGCTTGTACACATGTTGGGGCCAGACCTTCACTGTGAGGATGTGCTTCTGTGGTGGTGTGCTAAGTGCAGGCATGTCACACTGGAAAGTCTTAGAAACTAAGATCAGTTTAAATGATACCTAACTTATATTTGGCAATTGTTCTTATTTTGAAGGTCTGTCATATCTGCAGAGTTTAAATTTTGAGCGCATTGTCATGTGCCAGCTAAACCCCCTGAAGATTTGTATCCCTTCTGTTGTCAACTTGTTTGCTGCCATTACCAGGTACCTGCTCATTTACTTCAGTTTCAGCTTGGTACAGATTTTGTGTGTATCTAAAACTAGCACAGGGTTTTGTTAGGCACAGTATTGAATATTATCTGAGACATAATACTGCCCATATTCCAGGTGTGATAAGTTTATTCCTACGTCAGTTTCAATGGAATCCTGCATAGATTGCATAGATTGCTCTGTGTTGGAACCAGTGTGGTTGTATTTGGAATAAAGCTTATAGGAGCTTAGAGGAAGAGAACAGATTCCTTATCTTGTGACTATCTTACAAACTCCTATATCAGCTGGAAAATGGAAGATAGAAGTGATATGTGTTAAGAATAACTTTGCGTTTTCATTCCATCCATCTGAAAATGTTGCTTTGGGTGTGCTAGAAGTGCTTATCTTTTCTTTATTCCCTTTTTTAAAGGAAATACCAGTTGGTGTTCTGCTACACAATTATTGAGAGGAACAACAGGCTGTTGATCCCCGTTGTGCGGAGCGGTACCGGGGGCGACCTTGTGCAGACCTGCACCAACCCCCTCGACAGCTTCTTCCCCTTTGACCCCTACATACTCAAAAGGTAGAATTGAAAAGTGAACAACTCCATTGTTCCTTCTAGAAAATAATGAATATAACCTGTAGGAAAATGTCAGGGTTTCTGCCGTTCACTTTCCTCCCTGATCCTTTGTACCTTTCATACTCTGCATTTTAACCAGATTGTCAGAGGTTTAAATTTTAAAAGTACCCCTGTTGTGAATACAATAACTCATTCTGTGCTTTGTTTCCTCTCAGATCAAAGAAGACCATTGATCCTATGTATCAGTTCTGGGAAGAGCTCAGTGCTGAAGATCTTGAGAATCTGAAGAAACCCATTGAAAAGGTAATCTTCCCTGATCCAAACACAGTTCTGCTATCAGCTTCTTTCATTGTAGAATATTTTTTAAAGTAGATAAAACTATGCTGTACATTTAGGGGAACTTTGAAATTTGGAAGTTTTAGGAATTGATCCATTCTTGCCTCGAGAGCACTTTTCCCTCTTCAGCAGCACAGGAGCCATCTGAAAGCTTTATGAATGTGCTCAGAAAATGGAGGTGATGTCACTGGGAAATCCACCCTGTAGATGTAATTTAGTTCCCATATTTCATAATCAGAATACATGTAGTTCTGTTACCATTCCAACTGGTTGTGACAATCACAGTGTAAATCCAGGCCTCTATTAAGATTTGTGTATCTTCCTGCTCCCACTGATCCTTTTAAATTTTTGCAGGGTACTTCTGAAGATGAAGATGATGACTTCTTGAAAGGAGAAACTCCTCAAAATGATGGTGTGGTTGAAATTGCACCAAATTCTTACGAGTCCCACACACGGAGCCCTGTGAGCAGCATTGGCTCCCCTGCAGACTGTTACGTGCCATACCCACTGTGATACGGGCAACCAGAAGGGAAAATGTGGAATAGACTGAAAATTGTGTGCAATGTTTTGCTCTGGAAAGAGACTTGAGCTCAACTTTCCAAACTGGCAAATGTTTAGGTAACTACATTTAAAAAAATTACTGTTTCTTAGTCATCAGATTTCTACAGATATGGTAAAGTTATATGTTGCTAGAAAAGCTTAAGAGAATAAATAGGGTGATATTTTACAAATTTCACATTGAAATGGTTTTTTTGACTTAGAAGGATTTTTTTAAATAGTTTTTTCCAGCTCTTCAAAACTTAGTTTACTAATGTTTCTCTATGAGGTTTTTTATATCAGGGGTGAAATTCTGGTGTTTCTTCCTGCAGATTTGTGTGGGGGCCAGAATTCCACTGTCAGTGTTCCAACTCTGATGACTCTTCTTGTTGATCTGGTTTCACATTAATGGTGTAATCTCTTGTCCTAGGATGCCATTTTTTGGTGCCCAATGTGGGGCTTGAGAAAATGGAAAAAACCTGTACTGATTGCATTTTGATTTCACTTACACTATAATAAAGCAGTCAGTAGCCATGTTGCTTGAATCTGCTTTCTAGAGGGACCCCTTTGGAAGTTTCCTCCTAAATTTGCCCCAAACCAGGACATCTCTCAATAGTCAGGGCATGAATCCTGTCTGGCAGTGCCTCTTCCGGACACATCTCTTCAGCTTTTCCTGTCTGTAGAGCCATACTCAATGAAGCCACTTGCTGGTGGGAAGTGTACTCAGAGAGAAAGCATTATCCCTCCTTAAATCTGTAGCTGACACACACCTTTCCCAGCTAGGAAAGTTCAGGCATGTGAAAGTGATGGTTGTTGGAAGTGTTGAAAATGAGGGAGCAGCTGAATTAATTATTTGTAGATAGTTTTCTTTGGGGTGCTTGTGAAGCACTCCAAGACAGGTATTTATTTGCTACATTTGAAGTTTATATGTGAATGCTGAAAATAGGAAAAAAAAAAAAATCATCCCTTGTGGAAAGGATGTGATGGTGTCAGTGGTGTCCTTGTGTTGTCCATGTGTCTGTCAGTCAGTGTAGAGTTTCTCTACAGAGGTTTCTTGTCTTCTTTTCATGGTTGCTGGTTTTTAGATTTGAGTAAGAATATAAACAATGGGAAAAAAATAAATGTTATTCGTGTAACATTTAGTTGAAAATTTTAGGTATTTAAGACTAAACTCCAGTTGCCCTTCCTTAGAATCAGAACTTGGAGGCTTTCATGACAACATTTTTATTTGGAGCCAATAAAATTCAATGCAAACAGTGCAATTCTTAACATCCTTGAGTAAACCACATGTCTGTATGTAACTGAGGTGCCCTCTGTGTAGCCTGACTTCTCAAAGGTGGGGTGTTCATTCTGACAGATTGCAGAAATGAGTTTTGGGGATGACACTGAAAAGTAAGTGGATCTGTCCTTCATTGTATAAACTGAGAAGTTTTGGTTTTAATTGTAGTCCTCTTTATTGTCAGTCCTGAGTAATAAACAATAGATTTCCATCTGAAATAATTGCATTTTCTCCTGGCATGGAAGAACCCTCAGATCAACAGCAGGGAAAGCATCCTTTGAAAGATGCCCTTCAGACACTACTTCCAAAAGGAGGGTGTGTAAAACTTTCTCAGTTGTGATACCAGGTATGTGATTCAGGAGCTTCCATGTTCACGAAAAGCAAAAAAAAACCACTTAAGTGTAATGTGCAGACATTGAACTGTCTGTACTGAAGTTACACAGTTTTGTTTAAGGGTTTCTGGAACCTTTGCTGGGACAGCTCTGGTTTGCTGGGTATAATTGCAGGCAGGGGCTGGCTGGTGTTTTTCTAAAGAGACTTTGTAAATGCCAACAGCCGTGAGAGAAATGCTCATCCCAAGGGACAATTTTGTCTCACATGAGAAATGCAATGTATCTTTTGAAGAAAGCATTTATTCTACTTATATAATCATAAAGTCATAGAATGGCCTGGGTTGGAAGGAACTTTAAAGATCACCTAGTTCCAACCACCCTGTCACTGGCAGGGTCACCTTCTACGAGACCACTTTGCTCAGAGCCCAATCCAGCCTGGCCTGGAAGACTTCAGGGACAGTTTACTTCTGTGAAAATGGATGGAAAGGCTGAACTGGGGTCGTGGGCATTTACTGTCTCTGGGCTGTGGGCAGTCCAGGTGCCTGGCTGCCTGCATTCCCTGCAGGGTGAATTAGCTCTGCTGCTACCATGATTATTTTTTGTAGTATCTTCCACAGATGACTGGAGGAAAGAAACCCCTCATCTTTAAGGAAAAATAGTTGTCTTTGGGATTGTCTGAAAATCCAGCTTGTGGTTGCTGGGGCAGAGGATGGTGGTGTGGGAATCGGGCTCTTCTCCCAGGCACCCAGTGCTAGGAAAAGGGGTTGTAACCTTAAACTGTGCCAGGGGCGGTTTATGTTGGACATTGGGAATGATTTCTTCACAGAGAGTAATTAAACCCGGAAGGCATTTAGTAACTGGCTGGACGTGGTCCTCAGTGCCATGGTACAGTTGACACAGTGATGTTCGGATAGAGCTTGGATTCGATGATCTCAGAAGTGTTTTCCAATCTTAATAACTCAGTGATTTGTAAATTTGTGGCTTTATAACCGCTATTCTTTCATACCACAACTTAAGGATGCCCCGCAGCGGCCGGGGACTCTCTGCAAGGTTACCGAGTTAAAACCGTCAGGCGGTGCCGAGGCCGGGCTGTTTCCCTCAGCCCCGGCCCGTTCCCGGCCCCGGGCGGTGCCGCGGCCGCGCTGTTTCCCTCAGCCCCGGGCGGTGCCGCGGCCGGGCTGTTTCCCTCAGCCCCGGCCCGTTCCCAGCCCCGGGCGGTGCCGCGGCCGGGCTGTTTCCCTCAGCCCGGCCCGTTCCCGGCCCCGGGCGGTGCCGCGGCCGGGCTGTTTCCCTCAGCCCGGCCCGTTCCCGGCCCCGGGCGGTGTCGTGGCCGGGCTGTTTCCCTCAGCCCCGGGCGGTGCCGTGGCCGGGCTGTTTCCCTCCGCCCCGGCCCGTCCCCAGTCCCGGGCGGTGCCGAGGCCAGGCTGTTTCCCTCAGCCCCGGGCGGTGCCGAGGCCAGGCTGTTTCCCTCAGCCCCGGCCCGTTCCCGGCCCCGGGCGGTGTCGTGGCCGGGCTGTTTCCCTCAGCCCCGGGCTGTTTCCCCCAGCCCCGGCCCGTTCCCAGTCCCGGGCGGTGCCGAGGCCGGGCTGTTTCCCTCAGCCCCGGGCTGTTTCTCTCAGCCCCGGGCTGTTTCCCTCAGCCCCGGCCCGTTCCCGGCCCCGGGCGGTGCCGCTGCCGGGCTGTTTCCCTCAGCCCCGGCCCATTCCCAGCCCGGGCGGTGCCGTGGCCGCGCTCTCCCAGCGCCCCGCGCGGCGCCGCCCGGCCCGGCCCGGCGCGGCCTGGGGAGGGAGCGCGGAGCCGCCTTCGGGCCCGGCGCTCGCCGAGATGCCGCTGCTGGTTAACGGAGCGCGGGTCGACCTGGCCCGGCCCATGGGGGACATGATCCGCGCCCACCCGCACCTCGAGGTGAGGCCGGGCTGCCCTGGGGAGCAGCAGTGGTGGCGGGCGGGCGGCGGAGCGGGGCGGCCTCGGGCTGAAGCGGCCCCCGGGACAGGGCCGGCCCCGACCCCGATCCCGGGAGAACCCCGGGTGATGGAAAATAAATAAATGGGTGTCGGCGGAGGGGCTCAGCCGTGCGCCGGGGGTGGGGGTGGGGGTGAGGGTGCCCCGGCGGGGCCGGGCGGGCACTTTCTGCGTGAAATGACAAAAACTGGCGATAAAAAGGCAAGGTGGGCGCTCTGAGAACTGTGCTCACCTTGCTTCCACGGTATAAATGTAATAATCTTAGCGGCGGAGTGCGAGCCAGGAATGTGAGCAGAGCTGCTCGGGGAGCTGTTTCCCATTTGAAGGTGTTTCTGTCCAGACCCTGAGATTATGCAGAAAACCAGGGCAAATTTGATAAAGCTGTGAAGTGTTTTTGAGCCCAGAATGGAAATTCACTTTGTTCCCAGCAGGGCTGTGAGGAAGCACTGCAGTAGTCATAGCCCAGGAATCCGGATTTTCCAATCAAGCTAATAAACAACAGTATTTTGATAAGTGCAAAATAAATATTCTGAAATATGGCAGTAGAAGACTGGAACTTCTGTATTTCAAGTTTCCTGTTCTGATTAAACTTTCAAGATTAGTTCTGGTATTATCTAATGTAATCTTTTCCCAATCCAAAAGCTTTTTATTGTGCTTCCATTTTATGGTCCATATGACAGGGAAAGGTGTTTTGTGTTTCTCTGGAATAATGGAATTTAACTATTAACTCGGTGAGTGTCAGGAAAGCAAAAAACTTTAAAAATTCAGAATACTTTGCAATACAAAATGTGCGTGTTTCTCTCTGACCTGAGTCCCTTCGCTTTTCAGAGGTGATGTTTCTATGAAGTAATGGATACATCTGAGAATTCAGCCATTGTAGTATCTGTTATCATTTGTAGTATTTGTTATCATTTATCTTTAGGAAAAGGCAAAACTTCTGAGAAGTCAGCCTGCTCAGATCGTGGAACCCAAAGGCCTTCTCTATGTCCAGCAGAGAGAGTTTGCAGTGACTACCCCTAAAGATGGTGTGTAGGAACATAAACATTTCTTCTTGTACTGAAGCAGTGATTGTGAGAGCTGAGTTCTTACAGTGTTTTCCTCCTTTAAAATAGGTTCTGTTTCCATTCTTGGATCAGATGATGCCACTACCTGCCACATAGTTGTGCTCCGACACACAGGTATCTTCTAGAGGACCTCCAGAGCAAAGCCTGTACCCCTGAAGGAAGGAATTAGTACTGGTTTATGTGGCATTAATAAAATAAACTGCAGTTACATTAATAGAAACCTGACTCCCCTAAAGTCACATAATGTGTTAGCTAAAGACTCACTCAGAGTTGGTGTGTTTAGTGTGAGAGGTTCCGTGCTCTCCTTGCTGCGTGAGCAGATTTTAACTTGCTCTGCTCCTGTGGCCAGTGGCATTGCAGGCCTGGGCTGTGTCCAGCAGTCTGGCAGAGCAGGGTTGGGATGTTTCAGGAGTAGAATTTGTGGAAAGATCCTCACTGTGTGCCTGGATTTCTGACATTAGAGATGTTGCCCGTTAAGACGTGTCCTCCTGTTAAGAGGGCACTTGCACCCGTCGCAGGAGCTGGTTTTATAATGGCCCCTGCAGAGGGTGTTCCCTGCTAGAGGCTGCTGTGCTGAGGGGAGCGAGGCAGGGGTGGGGCAGCTCTCCCTGCAGCAGTGGGGACTGCCAGGGTTGGTGTCACTGTCACCGAGTCCCTGTTCTGTGCCTTCCCCAGGCAGCGGAGCCACGTGCCTGACCCACTGCGACGGCTCGGACACCGAGGCCGAGGTGTCGCTCATCATGAGCTCCGTGAAGTCCTTCTCTAACTCCACAGGCTGTGGCAGGTCAGCTCTGCTCCCTTCTTGCTCTGCTTCTCTCAGAGGTTACTGCAGCCTGTGTGGCAGGGAGTGGTGAGGGGATTGTGTGGGCTTCAGACAAGGGAAACAGCTCTTGCTCAGCAGCCGCATGCAAACTGAAAATCACTTCCTTGATAATGATTTTGGGGGTATTTTTAGCAGTCGTTTAAAGCACGGTTCTGTTCTGAGGGTGTCTCTGTAAAATACAACCATGAGGTTTGTGTTTACTGTTTCCCATTTAATTTTGTTCCAGATTTGCAAAATTTTCCATATAACTTAGTTTTGGTTTATATTATATTTTTCCCTTCAGAATGTAAATTCTTTTCAGCATCTGAAAATCCATCAGGGAATTTTGTAAGTCCACATTAAAAAAATAATGGTATGGAGGATAGGACAGTGGGTAAAAAGCTCTGAAACAGAATTTAGCAGACAAGCTTATTTCTGGATGTGGAGGGTTTTGCCCCTGTAGTTTGGTAAGAGCAAGAGCTAGCTAATGAACTTAGATTCATGATTTGTAAGGACTTTACATAGACACTTCTTAGAGAAGAACCCTGCTGCATGGTCCAGAGTAGTTGTGAGGAGGTAATGGGAACAAAAATCTTCAAGTTTAATTAACTGAAAGATGGTTACAAAGTTCAGGCCAAACCAGAGGTACCAGGGATACCCCTGGGATAGAATTGCATGTATTTAATGCCTCTTCAAGCTTGTTCCTGTGCCATTTCCTGGATGATCCCTGAAATTTTCAGAATGGAATTATCATAACTTGCTGTTAACCAACCAGCTTGGTGCATGTGATTGTAGTAAGTGAGGCTTCTCTAATGATTGCTTTGCAATTTGGGCTGGGGATTATTTTGTAAAACTATTCATTTTGAGATGTCTTTTTAATCGCTGTTTCCTGTTATTCCATCTCTGTTAGGCTGGAAGTGCACCTAGTTGGAGGTTTCAATGATGATAGGCAGTTATCACAAAAACTTACTAATCAGCTTCTTAGTAAGTTCACGTTTTTTCCACTCTCATGTCCAATAACAAAAAAAGTTCTGGCTGGATTTGGGTGGAGTTTGTTT